TTTTGTATTACAGACCCCCCACTGTAAGGGTTTCTGTCCCAATGGGCTTATACTCCCTGGTGGTGGCTTTCCACATGCAAATGATTGGATGCTGCAGCTACAGGGGTGTCAGCTAACTGTCCCCAGAGCAGTGTTTACAGTACCACACACAAACACACCAGTCCCTGCGGACTGTTCACAATGCTGCTCTGTTGGTCTGTCGAGAACGTAGACAATAAGTCACCATGTAAAAATAATTATCCAGTCACTTCCACAGTAAGCTTTGCAACACAAAGAAAAGCACGGGGCTGTCTCAACATTTAGCATGGGGCCCTGAGCTAATGGCGGCAGGGGGGGGATGGTGTACAAGCTGGGCATTGAAGACTAAAAAAGAGGTTATTTGCCAGGAGGTGGGTGTGACCATGAGAGAATGGTCTAGAGAGTGAGGTTCTGTCAGAATAAGCAGCCTGGCAAAGACATGGAGAGAGAGAGTTGATGTTTGCTAAAGAATGGCAGGGAGGACCAGGACTGAGGCTGACAATTGTCAGTTCATATACTACCCCAGTGAACCCATCTACGACCCTGTTTTTACTCTGAAGATGCTTCAGTGTGGATGAGGGATGATGTTCTGTCTGTTAGGAGATTAAAGGGGGGAAAGGCCAAGAGAGACCTATAAACGTGGGAGTGCAGATCCTTGCCAGAGCACAAGGGAAACACAGAGCGGTGAGTCAAGTTCATAGCCACGGGAATCAGGACAGGAGACAGAATCCTCACTCAGGTGGCCAGTAGACTCCCCTTCAGTTGAGAGGCATGGGTGCTCTGGTGGAAGCTACACCTCACCTCAAGTCCCCTGTCCCATCTCTCTCCAAACCCTGCTGCATCTCAGGAAGCTTGCCAATTGATGGCCCCCTCTCCCAGAGATGCTCAAGGCCACTCCCACAGGGTATTAAAGCTGCCCCACAGAACCAGGTTTTTGGTCTCTCTTCCTGTCTCCTCTCTGGGGGTGGGGAGGGGGGAACTATCCAGGAGCCAGGAGCGTTTTATCCATTAAACCTGGGACTTTTCTGATTCAGTTTGATTTGGTCTGATTTGGATTGCTGCATCAGCAGAGAGGCTTATTGGGGCGCAGAAACTTTTCATCAGGGAGGACTAAACCCAGGTTCATGGACCAGGTTGAGAACGAGGAGAAGCCACCGTTCACTTTCTTTGTACACACACACACACACACACACACACACACACACACACGCACGCACGCACGCACGCACACCACAGAATCAACTTGATCTGCAGCCGTTGGCCAAGGCAGATCTTTAGGAGCTAACTTAGGATGAAGAAGAGACTGATCAGCTGCTATTTCACACACCCAAGACGTGTGGGCTAACAGAGATGATCTGCGGGCTTGAAGGCCAGAGCCCTGGGTGTTTCTGGGTCCCTTGTTACCAGTCCGATCTCCGGCACCTCCCCTGGTACTTGCTTTTGGAATGGTTTGAATGTGTCCCTTGAGTGTGGCAATGTAAGAAAGAACATGGTGGGAGGTTAATCCTCAGACAAGATTGTTAGGTTCCGTGGTGCCTCAGGGAGTTCTAATGAGAGGGTTGTCGTGGAAGAGCTAGGCAGACCCCTCCCCATCCCGTGAGTGGCCTTCCTTGTGCCCATACCCCAACATTACACAATCCACGACTGTGTGATGAAGTCAGAGGGACCCTTGTTAGAGTGGGCACAATGCTGTTTGGACCCTCAGCTTCTAGAGCTATGACCTAAACACACCTCTTTTCCTACAAAGCACCCAGCCTCTGGCATTTTGTGACAGCAATAAGAACACGTAATTTGTCATGGGAGTAGATTACCAGCGGTTGGGGCAGGAAGGGTTCTTCACACTGTCACTGACCATCACTGCCTTTGTTGGTTGATTTCCTGAAGATTAGTTTGAAAGAGCCCGGGATGGAGGGAAGGATCCTAGGAAGGAGGGTCTGAAGCCGTCGCCATGAGAAGGAAATGTAGCCTGCCATGGCACAGGTAAGGCAGGGAGCAGGCATCCTGTAGCTCAGGGACTCGACAGTGCGCTTCTCTGACAAGTACAGCTTTCATAACTGAAGACACGGTGGAGTCAAATGCCCCAAAGACTCGTAGCCTACCGCTTGTTAGCTGTTTTTATTCACCGTTTCCCTCAGATCGCGTTGCTGTTGTCATCACGAACTCCTCCTCGGTGCAATGGTTTTAATTAGACTCATTTCCTGTTTTCTCCCCACAGAGACCAACCGGTTTGACGGTACTGAATGTCTGGAGAGGGGGGAGAAAGGAAGACTGTCTGTAAGCTAATTCTTGGCAAAGAGAAGCTTGGGGTCAAGGTGACAGAGCAGCCAGCCCACACTGGGGAAGACTGGGGGAGAGGAAAGAAGACAGCCTGACAGACGGACCTGGCCTGGCTTCGGCTCACACATCACATCCAGCAGTGCAGCCAGGACTAGCTCACATTTGGCCTGAAGAGACCACCCACCCTTGCTGGAGTCTGGGGTTCCTCTCTAGTCTTGCATCAACATAGTTGTATATCTGATTCTTTACTTCCTGTATGGTTTTGGCTGGGCAGAACCTCTTGGAACACTAGATGTGCCAATCTAATGATAGCTAATAAGATGCATGCTGCGGGAGGCCTTAAGAACGGAATCAGATGTGGAGACTAAGAAGCCTGTCTGACCTGGGTGACCTCAAAGTTGAGGTCACTGACTCTACAAATACTTGGGAAAGCGGGCTGTGGAATCAAGTTTTGGGAAGGATAATATAACCAAATTAGAGCAAATTCTTCCAAAGCCACCAAAGAACTATACAGACTGGCCTTTGGCTGTGTCTCCACCATCCAAATGAGTATATCCAAGTTATGTAACCCATCTCATCTCCATTTCCTCTCCAGGAAAGTAGAGCTAAGAGCACACACCACATGATTGCAATGGGGAATAGACAAGGTACTTTATATTCCGGCCAAATGGCATCAGAAGTTTATCTTAAGGAAAGCCCAAACGAGTCATGTGGGTCCCCACATGGTGAGTGAAGAAAGCAGAGGACTGTGGCTCACATCTGAAATACCCTGTAGGCTCAGGCCTTGCTTCCAGATGGCAGTGCTGGTCTGGAGAATATGGAGGTGTGGGGCTAGCTGGCAGAGGTGAGCTGTAGCTCCATTCCGGGTTCTGGTACTCTCCCTGCTTCCTATCTACCGTCATGTGAGGGAATTCTGCCATGTGTTCCTGCGAGGCCCATTGTGTCTTCCCCACTGTGATGGGCAGAATCCAGGAGCCAAAAACTGGCCCCCTCTCAAGCTTTTTCTGTCCCGTTTGAAGTCACAGGGACAGGAAAGTCATCAATGCATGGAAGAACAGGCAATCTACTTGAACTTCAACTCAAGAGGTCTCCCTGCTTTAGTCTAGAGTACCCAATTCTGCTATTTACTGGATGCTTGATTGTGAGAAGCACTTTGAGTCCCGAGCCCGAGTTTCCTCATCTCTGCAATGGAAACTAAAAACAGTATCTGGCTTTCCAGGTTGTCTTGAGAGTTGAGTTTGTGCATCAGGGTAGAAGCTCCTCAGACACAGTACAGTTCTTTTGCTTTCTTCATAGGGTCACCAGCAGACATTCCCCAATCCCCAGGAGTCCAGACGAGGTTCTGTGACTCTTTGGTCTAGGAAAGGCAGGTTTTTCTATATTCTCATTTTTTAAAAACTTCCCCCATTCTCATCTAAACTTTTCTCATCCGCTGGGTGGTTGGTTGCACAGGACTCAGGAGGGAAGCATGGGACTCAGGGAAGGCAGAGCCTCCAGGAAGTGAGCCGGGATCCATGTGGAGCATGACATTCCTTCTTCTCCCTTGACAACCTGTGGTAGGTTGAGAGCTTGGATTCCGGAGTTCTAGCATTGTATGCCACACGATGCTATAATTGTTCCCAGGAGCCACCTAGTAATCCCTCAGTAAAGTTGAGCTAGATCATGACGATGGTGGTGATTTTCTCCTTAGAAATAACAATGATGGAGTCAACATTTTGCTCTACCTCCAACTAGAACATTCTCCCCTGATCTCTGAATTCTCTAAAAACAGACATGAATCATTTGTTCATGCATTTATCCCACATATAAGCATTTGATGAGCATCTGCTGTTTACATGGTCTTATTAGCTGAAGAGAGATATGGAGATAATAATATCTCTACAAGACCTTAGGTTTCAGAGAAGCTGACCTACAAGGAAGTTCGAGGTGTTAACATGCTCTCTCTGTCTCTCTCTCTCTCTCTTCGTGTGTGTGTGTGTGTGTGTGTGTGGTGTGTGTGTGTGTGCGTGCGTGCGTGCGTGCGAGCGTGTGTGTGTGAATGTGTGTGTGTGTGGTGTGTGTGTGTGTGGTGTGTGTGTGTGTGAATGTGTGTGTGTGAGTGCGTGTGTGTGTGTGTGAATGTGTGTGTGTGTGAATGTGTGTGGTGTGTGTGTGTGAGTGTGTGTGTGTGAGTGTGTGTGTGAATGTGTGTGTGAGTGTGTGTGTGAATGTGTGTGTTGTGTGTGTGAGTGTGTGTGTGAATGTGTGTGTGTGAGTGTGTGTGAGTGTGAGTGTGTGTGAGTGTGTGAGTGTGTGTGGTGTGTGTGTGAGTGTGTGTGTGTGTGGTGTGTGTGTGTGAGTGTGTGTGTGTATGTGTGTGTATGTGTGTGTGCGTGTGTGTGTATGTGTGTGTATGTGTGTGTGAGTGTGAGTGTGTGTATGTGTGTGTGAGTGTGTGTGGTGTGTGTGAGTGTGTGTGCGTGTGTGAGTGTGTGTGTGCGTGCGTGTGTGTGTGCGTGCGTGTGTGTGTGAGTGTGTGTGGTGTGTGTATGTGTGTGTGAGTGTGTGTGTATGCGTGTGTGTGTGAGTGTGTGTGTGTGTATGTGTGTGTGTATGTGTGTGTATGCGTGTGTGTGTGTGTGTGTGTGTGTGTGTGTGTGTGTGTGTGTGTGTGTGATCAGAAGCTGTTGCTTATGACAGAACCCAGTCAAACTGCTTCTGACCTCAACTTGCTTCTAGGACAAACTCATCTAGACTTTCTATACTCAAGGAAAGAAAAGAGGGCTCACAGCAGCCCACCCCCATGAAAAGCAAATGTATTAGCCGAGTGTTGCCCTGTGGCCTCCAGGGGGTCTCCCCTCCTTTTCTTCCTGAGTTCTTTCTCTCCGTGACTGGGCCTTGTCTGCCCCTTCTGGGACATGCTGTTGTATTCCATTTTCCAAGGGAAGGGAGCAGAGGCTCAGCTGTAGAGCCAGCCCCTCCCCACCTGCAACTCACCCTTCCTATTTGTACGATCGTCCACGTTAGGTGGGAATCTAGAGCACCGCACAGGCAGCTCTCCCTTCCACCCTCACAGACAACTCTGACAGACCCAGGCCCTCACTGTGCTCCTCCGGAAGCCGAGTAAACCTTCATGAACTTTTCTTGCACAGCCTCCCAGGCATCTGGACTTGGCCCAAGAGTGAACCGATCTCTAGGCATCTTTGGTAACAGTCATCATCTCCCACCCCCACACACTTATTTTTAAATCACTCCGAGATGTGTACTTCGATAAGCAGTGTGTGGGCAGGGTGGCTGCTGTTAGCCTTGCGCCCTCTCCCACCAACGCCCATCTTTCAGGAAGTGCTCAGTAAATATCTGGGGCCAAGGAAGCCCCTCCCACTGCTGAGCTCCTCTCCCCACTTCTCCAAGAAAGGCTTTCTCCACCACAGACTCTGACCCTGCATGTAGGACCTGGAACTATGTGCCCTGGTGAGTTCTCCTCCGTCCCTCTGCTCCGGAGTAGGCGACTCCAGAAATGACTGTGAAGTCTTCTGTGGAGGACAGCTGTCGGGCAGGCGAGAGCCCTGTCCTGGAAGCCCTGCTGGGAAACCAACAGAAGTGCTTTGGACCTGTTTGTGGGTAACTGGTAGGCTCAAAGGATTCCAAATCCCAACCATGAATTTTTCCTTCTGACCCTATCATTAGGTCTGATTTTGTGCCAAACCAACTTTGAAGCAAGACTTTGTAACCATGCCTGTTCATTCATTATTATTTTTAGGGCAGATCTGTTTCTCATTGACTGGGGCCCACTGGGGCCCTCTCTGGCTTTGTCACACTCAGGACAGCCAGCTTGGCAGCCCTCCAAAGACCATGCTTGCCCGGAGGTGCCTTTGCCTGCCTCTCCTGACTGGCTGGTACCGGCCTGAGCTAAAGCTTCCTTTGTTCTGTCACAGTGGGTTACTTTTTCTTGGGCTTGGATGGCTCAGCAAAAGTTATTGGATGCTCTGCAGGGTAGAAGCCCTGGGCTGCCTGGTTTATTCTGGAAACCGTGTGCACTGTTCTGGTGTGGCGGAGGGGGTGGGAAGGGTCACACACAAGTCAAAGCTGTCTGCCTCTCAAGCTAGGAGCCTGGTAACACTAGTCCTGACAGGAGCAAATGAGGAGAGGGAGCCGTAAAGGTAGAAGAGACAACTGCCTATCTTCACATCAGCCTTAAAACCACCCTCAGGCATCACACAGGGAAAGCAGGAGAGACAGCACAGGAAAACAAAAGAGAGTGATATTTAAGTCAGGTGAAACAGTCTACCCGCCCCTTCCTGCTCTCCCTCCTTCCTTTCCCCAGCTTGATAACCTCTGCTCTTCTCCCAACTTCTGCAAGACCAACTTTCGTAAACAACAGATGGTTGTGGGCCTTGTGTGTTTTGTGTCTGACTAAATTCACTCAACACGACCAACACAGCGATTCCACTGGCCTTGCCACACATTCTTCTCATGACTAAACAGTATCCCACCCTGTACACAGACCATGCCTTCCCTATCCACTCATCAGCTAACGAGCACAGAAGCGGTTACCAACCCTTGGACACTGACTGGTAAACACAGGAGCACAGAATCTGATTTAATGTCCTTTACATGAGTGTTCGTACCGACACTATGCAGTGGATACATTGATTAAAACACCACATGCTATCCCGTTAATGTCTTCAGTTTTATTAGATCAGTCTAATTTAAAACTTACAAAGGTGGTAACACTGCCGGAGAGATGGCTCCGTGGCCAAGAGCACTGACTACCCTTCCCGAAGACCTGAGTTTGATTCCCAGCACCCACAGGGTGGCTCGCAACCATCCGTGTATCACTCCAGACTGAAAGGATCTGACCCTTTCCAGACGCCCGTGGAGGACAAACACATTGCAGGCAAAACACCCATCCACGTGAATTAATGGTAATGACGGAAAAGGTAGTAATGGATTCAAGAGGGTAGGATGGTAACGGGTAAGTAAGGACTTCTTTGACAAGCCCTTTTTAGATGGACCCAGATGTGCCACTTGAGGTCAGACAGACCTACTGCATACAGCACATTATGCACCTCCGATGTCACCGTGAGTGGCTTCAGTGCTGTTCTGCGCTTGCTTTCTCCTCAGTCTCCTCCCTCATCTGAATCCTACCTTCCTTAGGCCTCTGCAGGGCTGCCTGCCTCTCCTACCATTCCTTTCTCAGAATGCCCAGCGGTTTTCCTCCAAGACTGTCTTCCCGTCCTCTGCCCTCAAGGCTGCTGATTTCCTTGGGGGTGATCAAGTACTCCCGTGCCTAGAACCTCACTCAGACAACCAGCTTAGCGAAGATGGAGGACAGAGCAGCAAGGTCATCCTGTCACAGTTCCAGGTTGCTAGGGGAGAGCAGGTTGTCCCAGCACAGCTTCAGGTTGCTATGGGGGAACAGGTCATCCCAGCACAGCTCCAGGTTGCTATGGGGGAACAGGTCATCCCAGCACAGCTCCAGGTTGCTATGGGGGAACAGGTCATCCCAGCACAGCTCCAGGTTGCTATGGGGGAGCAGGTCATCCCAGCACAGCTTCAGGTTGCTGTGGTGAGGGGGAACAGGTCATCCCAGCACAGCTCCAGGTTGCTATGGGGGAACAGGTCATTCCAGCACAGCTTCAGGTTGCTGGGGGGGGGCAGGTCATTCCAGCACAGCTTCAGGTTTCTGGGAGGGGGTGACAGGTCATTCCAGCACAGCTTCAGGTTGCTGGAGGGGTGACAGGTCATTCCAGCACAGCTTCAGGTTGCTGGGTTGGGGGGGTAACAGGTCATTCCAGCATTCAGGTTTCTATCTGGGCTTGTGGGGGGTGGGGGGTGGGGATGGGGTAGGGCTATCATTGTTTGTCATGCTATAGTTCCCATCTGGCTCTGGGTCAGTCTTCCCAAGTCCTTCAGTATGAAGTCATCATGTACCCCTCTTTCCTCCTCAGACACTACATGGAAAGAACATCTTCCAGGCTCATCCCCGGGACCCCGTGTTCATATACTCAGTGCACTGGCTGGTTTCCTGTCAACTTGACGCGGGCTAGAGTCATCCGAGGAAGGAGCCTCAGCTGAGGAAAGGCCTCCTTGAGAGCCAGCTGTAAGGCATTTTCTCAATTAGTGATCGAGGCAGGAGGGCCCAGCCCACGGTGGGTGGTACCATCCCTGGGCTGCTGGTCCTAGGTTCTATAAGTAGGTGGACAGAACAAGCCATGGGAAGCAAGCCAGTAAGCAGCTCCCCTCCATGGCCTCTGCATCAGCTCCTGCCTCTAGGAGCCTGCCCTGTTTGGTTCCTGCCCTGACTTCCTTCAGAGATGAACAGCAAAGCTGAAGTGTAGTTGAATAAACAAACCCTTTCCTCCCCAACTTGCTTTTTGGTCATGGTGCTTCATCGAAGCAATAGAAACCCTAACACTTAGCTAACACTTTGCAAATTAGAAGATACTTTTCTAACCCTCATTCGATAGAATTCTCCCGAAAATCCGGTGAAACTCGTATTTTAATTCAGGCAGTGCCTGGTGGTAGTGAGCCCTAAGTGTAGGTTCTTTTGCTCCATGCCCAGGGTCCCTCTGGCTCTCAGGAGCTTTTGCAGAATGAGAGACAGGAAGGGGAAGCTGGGACCCTGCGGGCAGTGGGGTTCTGGTTAGAGGACCGGAGGGCGTGGACACCAGGGCCGGAGTAATGCAAATCTGGCAGGAAACGTTTTGGTTCAAGTCACCCACAATTTTTCTTTCTCAGGCTCGGTATTAGCCTCCTTCCTTTCATTCTCTTCTCTACCAACTGTAGCTTCTGACCACAGCTGCTCCTCAGAGCCTCGCTCACTTCCGCGTCTGTGGTATTTCGGGGCTTCCCTGCCTCGACCCAGGGATGATGTTCCCATTTGAAGCACCGGGGAATTCTACCAACAGGAGGTTCGAGGGTTTTGTGCTAATATGCATGCGACTGAGCTTGGAGTCCCCATTCCAGAGAAAGCCTCACAAACTCTTCACCATCCAAGCACTTCTCAGGCAGAAGTTGGATTTAGTGGTGACCCCCACTAGTTGTCTCCCCGTTTTTTTATGTTCTTCCTACACATAGCCTCCAGAACAGCATGGCCTCCGGTTCTCTCTCAGCACTACTGGCAGAGCATCTCAGGCTTCTTGGAAGCACTCTTCTTGGAGGAGTCTAGGCCCAGCCCTTTGTTTTCCTTTCCGTAAGTGTGTCCACTCCCTTGGCGATCCCAGTCACACGGAAGCCTTAAGCACCAGCTGTAGGCCAGAACAACTCCCACAATGATTTCTCCATCCTCTGTTGAAGTTGCTGGACCAGCTGTGGAGTCAACACTTCCATGGGAGGCTTAACTGTGTCCTACAGGGCCTCCTAACATCTCCTTACAATCCTGATGGTGTCCGGTGTCCTCCGTGCCAGTGACTGCTCAGAGCCACCAAGGATGGCTTTATCTAATGCACACAAAATCCTTGGCTCAGCCTTAAGCTAACCCAGAAGCTATTACCCAGACCCAGGCTCTGAAGTGTAAGTCATGTTAGTGTTGAATATTATCTTCCTTTTCCCCCTCAGCTGTCTTTCTCCTAGTTTCCATGATCCTGTTACATTACTTTTGTTGAATCAAAAATGCTCCTTCCCTCCAGCCTGATTCCAGAGCCCCATAAGTCCCAAATAAACACACAGGAGGCTATATTAATTATGAAGCTGTTGGCCTTGCTTGCTTTATACTGGCTAGCTCTGACTTAAGTATTTACCCCATAATTGTTAATCTAAGTATGTCTCTTACGGGAGAATAGTTCCGAACTCCTTATCCCTATAACGGCTACATCGTGACTCCCTGTGTTTCTCCTATCCAGAGTCTTCCTGGACTCCTAGTCCCACCTATCTTGCTTCCCTATTGGCCAACAGTGCTTTATTGACATATACACAGGACTTTCCCAACACCTTGATATTTGGAATAAGAGTCAGGACCCTTCCAATGTGTGCTGAACTGACTGCATAGTGGCTGCAGGTTCTGCTGGTCCCGTATCTCCTTAAAAGCAACTGTACCACTGATGGGGGAAGTCCTTCTGTGTATATGCAAATAAAGCACTGTTGGCCAATGGGGAAGCAAGATACGTGGGACTAGGAGTCTAGAAGGATTCTGGGAAATGTAGTGAAGAGAGTCGTCGCCACATGATTCCTGGAGGCCGGAACGCAAGTCTGGCGTTCTCGGGAAGATAAGTCCTTATAAAAATATATATTAGTAATTATGGGTTAGTGATTAAGCCAGAGCTTGCCAATTAGAGACCATAGCAAATGGCCAACAGCTTTATAATTAATATAGTGTCCTGTGTGTTATTTGGGGGCTAAAGTGGCCGCGGGACCCAGGCAGAATCCAGCAACAGGACCACCTTTTTCTACACAAGGCAGAGTCTGAGTCCTGATCCCTGAAATCTGTCCCTGTGGTTCGTTTTGACCTGCAGAATGCAATTTAAGTGACAATGTGTCACTTCTGAGCCTGGGGCCCTGCTCTATCTATATGAACAAGCCTAAGCAGGAGGCCGAGACACATCACCTTCTGTGTTAATACTCTTCTCCTTGCTACAACAAAATACCTGGAAAATCAGCTTCAAGAGGGAAGCTTCCCGTTTCAGTTCACAGCTCCAGGACACGGTCCATCATGGTGGAAAAGACATGGAGGCAAGAGCAGCTGTGGCTGTGACGGCATCAGTGTGAGGCAGCTGGCCACATTGTGTCCACAGTCAAGAAGCTGGTGCTCAGTTTTTTAGTCTGTCTGGGACCCCAGCCTATGGGCAGTGCTGATTCCACTCCAGATGTGTCTTCCCTGCTCAGCAAACCCCTTTGAGAACTCCCTCACAGACATGTGCCTAGCTGTTTGTGGAAGGCTAGTTTAAGATGTGTTATACGTTTGTTTATGCTGTGGAACATTGGTGTCATGATGTAAAGATGTGTTGCATTCTTTTATGTTACATTTGTTTAACTCTGTGAAGCTGTGTCACTTTGCCTGTCTAAAACACCTGATTGGTTCAATAAAGAGCTGAGTGGCCAATAGCTAGGCAGGAGAAATGATGGGTGGGGCTGGCAGGCAGAGAGAATAAATAGGAAGAGAAATCTGGGAAGAGAAGATCAAGAAATGAGCAAAGAAGGAGAGAGGACATCAGGGGTCAGCCACCCAGCTCCACAGCAAGCCATGGAGTAAGAAATAAAGAATGGTATGCAGAAGAGAGAAAGATAAAAGCCCAGAGGCAAAAGGTAGTGGGGATAATTTAAGAAAGGCTGGCTATAAATAGACAAAGTTAAGGCTGGACATTTATAAGTCACAATGCAACTTCATATAATTATTTGAGAGCTGGGTGGTGGGCCCCCAAAGAGTAAGAGCCAAAGAGTGAAAAACAATACCTAAATGGTTCTAAATTCCATCACGCTTTCATGAGATTAACCATCACACCTCTACCTTTAGCAGCTGGACAGAGAGACGCGGCGACCACAGCCTGGCCAGCCTCACAAGCCAACAGCTGACCCTGGTGAACAAGTCTAGCTGTCAGACACTAGTCCTACGACCATCTGAGCTCACTGAACCACAGACTCCCAGGCAAAGATGTGTATTGCTTTAAATCCTGGGGGTGTCCAATTGTTTTATGCAACAGCATTGTGGGAGTAAGTGACTAATATAAGTGCTCTAGAAGTTTTTTGTAACCCGTAGCTTGCCTTATAGCTCTGACACCATTTTCTAACACTGCGTGAAAGCCGTGGTCACTGTATGTGTTCCAGCCTTGGGTCCTTCGCACTTTCTTTTAATTTTGCCTGAAAATTTTATTCACTCAAATCCCCATGGCTATTCTCTTAGATGATGCCACAAGATGGACACACAAATGTCTTTTAAACCAGAAGGCACACAGGCTGGCCAATGGTGACAGTCGAGTTTGCAGAATAAAACTGGGATCCTGAGTGTCCTCTTGATAATTGAACTGGGGTAAACATTTCAGAAGAGGGGCCCAGAGAGCAGCTTGGTGCAAAGGATGGGGAAGAGAACACCTTTCTGATAGTTGGCATAGTGATAGCTTCATGTTTCCTTCTCGATTGCTGTGGACTCCCTGGGGAGCCTGTTTTACTTGATATGCCTTCACAGCATATCTGATTTATAGTATTCGTCTATATTTATTTGTCTTTTACTCATCTCCTCTATCTACAAGAGGGTCCTGTAACGATGAAGATGTTCTATTTATTTATTTATTTATTTATTTATTTATTTATTTATTACCTCCCTCATATGACGGCCATAGCCCATATGACTACTTGATATCCAGAATGTGGCCAAGGCAACTGAACTTTTAATATAATTTAATTTTAATTGCTTTAAATGTAAATAGCCAGATGCAACCAGTAGCTACCATACTGGACAATCACAACTCTAGATTTCTTCTAGTAAAAAACATTGGTATCTTGTTAACTGCCATGACCTTGGTCCTCAAAGTAGAGGCACGTGCGCAGGAATCTTAAATTCTCTATTTCGGAGTGAATGAACCTGGTATCTGGGAGGACAGCAGATTGCAAGAGAAGTTGTCAACATCAAAGCTTTAGTGTCCTTTCAAGCTGTGGTCATGATGAAGTGTTTGGGGAAATATAGCAGACGGGCTTTCCAACTCCTGCAGCCAACTTGAAAGGAGGAAGGCTGTGGGGAGCCGCCCCCACATTCTCCGTTACAAGATGGCGCCGACACCCGTTGTCAGTTGGAGTAAACAACCTTGGTGCGCACGTGCCTGCTACTTTTCCATCCCTTACTCTCTGCCTCTCCAGTGGCGTCATATGGGCTGACGAGCAGGAGCCAGTCAGGAGATGACATGTCCGAGGCGGGGACTGCTGAGCTATATAAGGGTTGGGCTTTTCGCTCCCCGGGTCTCCGCTCTGTAAGCTTATGCTCTCCCTCTCAAGACGCATTAAAGCTGTTCTGCAGAAGGATCCTAAGTGTGCCGCGTCGTTCTTGCTGGCGAGACGGTAGCGCGGGACAGAAGGCTCCATTTTAGGACAACTGTCCTCCTAATTAGCTCTGGGTGGGCTGGACAGAACAGAGCTTGGCTCTGGCTGGTCCTTGTTGCATACTGACAGAGGCAAGTGTGTCTCAGGGGGCATGAAGGCTCTCTCAGCCTCTGCCCTTAGAAATGCCTGGGGTAGAGCCCGGATAATTCAGGGTGGGAGAGACCCCACGCTTGAGGACTGTGTTCCCCACTGTCGCCACAAGTCTGCGAAGTTCAGCAGAAGGTTCTCTCCACTCAGGCAGGGCTGAGCGGCTCCAGTGGCAGACAGCCAGTCCCAACCACACCACAGCAGTTAATTCTCCACCACAGCCACTTAGCACATGCAACCCTTGGCCACCAAATCCTTACCAAGCCCAACATCTTACTTCTCTCATGCCAGTTGTCTAGTATCCCAAAGGCCAGTGTGGCCAGTTCCCTTATCTCCCAGGAAGTCAATCAAATGGCCACTCCACCTGCTGCGTGTGTACCTAGCATCCCTACAGGTGCTTGAATTGTCGTTTATTTTTTATGCTGATACCGGATAACCTTTTAGGTGTACGTCACCCTTGACTCTTCCTGAAGCCTAAAATGCTGAGGAATTGTTCTACTTCTTGGGAAACCGAATTCAGAGGGCAGATGGGTGAACGAGCTGAGGGGTCTCATCTCCTTGGTATTCTTTGATTTGAAGTAGAATGATAGTAACTCATGGAGGTGAATAGTTTCTAAGTTGCTTACAAATGTCCCAGAGAGGCAGCAGTGCCGTGGCTGGATCCAAGCCCTCCCCCTTATTTTCTTTCGAGTCTTTTTAAAAGGAAGTTTTTAACTCAGCACAGTAACATGTATGCCAACAGTACCTTACAGTTGAATAACATCTTTATAACATCGAAAGAGTCTTTCCCATTTATTATCTCAGTGGGTTTGACACCAGCTTTATGAAGTCCACAAGCCTACTATTGATACTCTGTTCTAAAGGCAAAGGTGCTAAGGTCCTGTGAGGTTAAGTGATCTTCTCAAATTCACCTGAATTATGATAATATTAAGTGTCATTACAGAATGCTTAGTGTTTTATATACATTAGCTCACATGGTTCTCACAGCATCCCCTCTGGAGCAGACAGACTCTCCTTCTTGGAGCACAGAGGTTCCCAGAGGAGACATACACCCTCATGACATCCATCTGGGAAGAAGCAGACAGGAACTCAGAATCCTATCTGACTTGAAATTCTATGCCCTTTCCTACAAACAGGAGATTTGTGTGTCTAAAACATTGTTTAAATGGTTGGGATTGTTTCACGGACAAAAGAAAGATTTTTATTGGGCAAAGAGTGGTGAGTAAAAAGGATTTCCAGAGACAGGATTGGAAGAGCAATGGGTGGGGCCTGAGGGATGCAGGAAGGCTGTACTGAAGCTCTTGAAAGCTGTCAGCTTGGGTCCTGTGGGCCGGAAAATACCAGATTCCCCAAGAGGGCCCGTGGCTCCTTGTTGCTGGTCAGAACACACGATATGCTCAATAGTTGATAAATAGATGGAAGGATGAAGGCGTTTCAAATTCATAATCATAAAAAATAAGAAAACATTTCAGAAACCATTGGAATAAAAAGTAATCATTTCTAAGAGCTTGAGAACTGTTTATTGTGTGGAGCACTAATTGAGTAGACGGGAGGAGGGGCCTGAGTGCTGTGGCATGCACAGAGTTCCAGGGATAGCTTCTCAGTCCCTGCTTCCATCTCTCACAGGTCTATGCCTCCTACCTCTCCCAGCTTCTGAGTGACACTTTGGGCACAGGCTGTACTTGTTCAGTTGGGGTCGTTATGAAAATCTCTGTCTACTTTCAAACCGCACCTGCAAGCTCACTTTCTCTTCCTTCTCCTGCGTGTGCGCTTGTGGTGACCGTAGGACAAGCGGCAGGGCCGGGCTTGGAGACGCTTGCCCACCTCCTGCCTTGGTAAGAACAGCGGCAGGAAACGAGGGGGAATGGGGGTGCCATCTTCTCCGACCGGGGCCCCATGGTGGTTTGACTGAATTCTGTCTGCTCCTGGTAACTCTGTTCAGGTGTAGGCTGACGGTGAGACGGGCGGTGTGAATACTTCCCCTTGGCGGTATCACGGAGGGAGGACCCTTCAGAGAAGGAGCCCCCGCCCTTGCAGTCTACCCTAAAGGCTTTGCTTCATCTGGCTGCCATGTAAGTCCTTCTTTAAGACACGGGCTCCCTCCGGCATGGCTTGAGAATTCCGAAGTGTCTATTCTTACACTGCAAAGCCCGAGGGGACTGGATACGTGGAGGACCCTTCCATACTCCTTCCGACTGCAGTAAGCCAGGGTCTCCCCTTACTCTGCAAGGACAGGTCCTCCATCAAGCCTTCCCCTTTCAGGAATTTCAGAAAGAAGTGGTACTGGTCTCCACATTTATTTACATTTCAAAACTTCAGGGTAGACACGGCAGGCCCTTCCGAGAACTCTCTCATCCAAGATTCCTCCATTGCGGACCTGCAGGCTCTATGTGCCAGTGAGAGTCTGTGAAGACACTCCACTGTGTGTGAGGGATTCTGCTAGAATGTCAAGGTTGCGCTTGGCTTGGGCAGGGATGCAAGCACCTATCTGCCAGTGATTTACCACTGATGGCACCCAGGGCCACAGACTTGAACTCCATTCTGACCCTTCTTCTCCCCTTCCTCCAACTCTTTTTCTGTGCAGCGTAAGGAGGAAGGAGGCACGTGGACCTTAGGGTTGAAGCTTCCAGGAAAGCTGGGGATCACAGCAGGGGTCAAGAATGTCTGCAAAGAGTAGAGGAGTGCTCTTTGTAGTCAAATTTACTCAGGTATAATTTATATCTCTATCTATCATCTATAGATAGACAGAGATAACATGCGTATGTGCTATGTGTACATATCTCATGGCACACACATGGAAACCAGGAAAAAAAAGCTTGTGGGAACCAGTTTCATCCTACTACTA